TCCCTCGAGCGGGGTCTGTGAGTGACGCTCGAGCGAGTGTTTTACGCTCGAGCGGGGCGACTGGGTTTAAGTTCCGTGTTTTGACTTTTCAAATCACTTTTTTTCACTTTTCTCTTCTCTCTCCCCTACTTTTCCAAAAACACCATTGTTGAGCCTCTCACTTCTAGAACTCTACTTCTCTCTAGGTTTTGATCTAGTAGGAAGTGATTTGGCTCATACTTTGGCTTTACAAAAAAGTTGTTGAATACGTCGAGGGCTACCTTTTAATCTGAAAATTTCGGGTTTTGGAGCACGTTTGGGTTTTGCCAATCCTTCTCTTGGGGCTCCGAATTTGAGGTAGGGATATCCTACTCCTCTCTATGGATTTTGTTCTTTAAATTTGGTATTTTGAGAATGTTGGGGTTGGTTTGGTAATTTTGTGAAGTTTGGGGCTTTTTGTGCGTATTTTTACAAAAGTGGGGTTTTATTTATATAAACCTAGCATTGCATGTCTGGCATAAGAGAAAATGGAAATGAAATGTTGAAATTTATTGATGAAGGGAATGGGAACTGAGGGTTGAAACGTTAATTATGGGAATTTGGCCTAATTACATTGTTTAAATTAATCTGGGATAATTAATGAGAAGAGTGGAAGAAATGAAATTGGTTGATTGAATATCCATTGTGCATTTATTTTCCTTGTTAGAAATAACTGCTTGTGGGCTATCGTGGAGGATAGTCCGGATTGTTTGTAGACAATGCATTGAGATTAGGCAAACTGAAACTAATAAATGAAGTGTGTCATGGATCTATGACGGTTGATAGAATACATTAATCTATATGTCATTGAGCTGATTGTATATAGAACCAATGTGTTTTGGTATACGTAATGTGTAACGAGGAGTGAGGATGGGGGATGTACTCCCGGCCGGTTTTAGGGAAGATAGGGGATGTACTCTAAACCGGATGTGTTTGGGAAAGAATAGGGATGAACTCCCAGTAGATACAGCGCTTATATGCTTGTCTAGAGAAGTGAAGATAGAGCTATATGCCTATGCTTTGGAAAGTGTGGATAGGTAGGCTTATGCTCTATCCGTGGGGATATTGTTGTTATACATATCTGTTGTAGAATTGTGGATATACGCTTACTTTTGCCCCCCTTATCTGGAAGATGTGGAATTTGTTGTTATAAACATATCTGTTGTAGATATGTGGATAATAGCTACTTGCTTATCTGAGAATGTGGGATATTGTTTGTTATACATATCTGTTTGAATAGTGGGTAGTGCTTATAAGGCCTATCTGTTGAAAAAGGGAAAATGAAGGTAATTTGGACTTGTAAAGAGAGAAATGTATAAAAGAAAAAGGAAAAGGAAAAAAAAAAAAAAATAATTAAAAAGAAAAAGGAGAAGAGAGTGGGAAAAGGGATGGAGAGTGAAAGTAGAAAAAAAGAGTGCGTAGAGTGGGGTAAAAAAGGGAGAAGAAGAAAAAAAAAAAAGCAAGTAAAAAAGTAAGGAAAAGGGAAAGGAAAAAAGAGGAAGTGAGGAAAGAAGAATGTAGAAAAATGGTAAGATAGTCGTATACATAAAATGATGATTTAGGAAGCGTTTAGCATCTATCAAATGCTAATGTTTTAGTCAATGTTCATGGGTTGTTTAGTATATTTCTACTGGGCTGTGGCTCACCCTATATGGGAAATATCATTTCAGGTGCAGGAGAGCATGCCACCTCCAAGGACATAGCTTGGGAGGCTAGAGGCGGACATAATAGTTGTCATTTCTCTTTTTGGATGTATTACATGTAAATACAAGCCAAGGGCTTAATGTGTATGAGTTAGTACTCTTTTGTTGTAACCAAGTGTTAACTTGAAAAGCTGTAAGCCTGTAGGGCATTTGCTTTTGTTGTTAAGCATGTAATACTTTTTGTAATAAAACTCTGAGAAATGAAAGAATGTGGAACTTTTGAATATCAATGCCCTGTCTTAATTATTGGGTTTAATGCATATGTTTTGAGGGGCGTTACAAACTTGGTACATAGAGGCGTACCGGGTTTGAATTACTTTTGGGTGTGGGCAAGTGATTAGGATCATCAATGGGGTTTGTCTCGCTTAATAGGAGACTTAGATATAGTATCATAATGCTATGTGCTTACTTGATAACATGCTTATGTGATAAGTTGGGTAATGGGGATTAAGATTTACTAGTACATGTTGATTTGGATCCCTTGGGTTTCTGGGGAGTCTTGTTTGGAAAAGCACTTGATCAATTGCTGTTTCTAACCGGAACTTCTAGGTAACGCCTCGAAGACTCTATCAATTATCCGGAACATGAATTCGTAAGTGGCTTATGTGTTTAGTCTTTATGTGGAGTGAATTACAGTTGTCCCATGCATCAGGACGTGAGTGGTTTTAGTTTCGGCACAATTTGTGATGTGCTAGTTCTGTAGTTACCTTATTAGGATGTCCAGGACGAGGAAGAGGTGCTAGGACGTGGTAGACATTGCGAGCAGGAAGGTACGTTACCATAGGGTGAGATTCCGGCAGTGCAGGAGGGAAGTTGGCCAGGCCAATGGTGGCCGAGCCATTGGGCAGGCAGGCTATGGGTGCCTTGGCCAGAGAGATCGGGCTTTGGGTATTCTTTAGGGAGGGAATCAGGCCCACTGAGGCAGGAGCATTCTTTCTTGAAGAGGGAGTCTTCCGGGTCTAATCCGCGATGAGTTTATCGGGGATACGAGGGAGCCAACTGAAGGCGATGAGTGGCTAGAGCAAATGAAGTAAGACGTTGCGAAATGCTTGGCATCGAGACGGAGCAACTGAAAGTGGAACCTTGGCATCCTTCCAACTGAAGGGAGAAATGCGGGTCAGTGGTGGGAAGTAACGGAGAAGGGCTCGTGTTGGTGTAACTTTGGGAGGCGTTTATAAATGCTTTTTCAGGAGAGGTTTTTGTCTGGCAGCAGCTAGGGAGAGGCTGAGGGATCCGTTTAGCCGGCTTAATCAGCAGGATTGGTTAAGTGGCCAGGATATATGAGGCTACCTTTACTAGTCTATCCAAGGTTCGCAACCTGAACTGGTGGCGTCTGAGGACGGCCGTTGGCTAAATGAGTTTGAGCGGACAGAGTTTGGAGGCGGGGCCTCAGTATGGGGATATAGGTGAGGTCTTACATCCCGGGAAGTAATAAGACATCTAGTGGCGCTGCACGCTCACATATGGAGCCTCAAATGATGCAGAGGAGGATGAGGCACAAAGAGGCTCCAAGAGGAAAGACAAGATGTCAGGGTGATGGCAGGCGAGGCAGAGGGGGTTCTAACCCTGCAGCAGTCGCAGGGTTGGAGTTTGCTAAGATTCGACCTTGCGTTGGCTCACCCTATATGGGACATCATTTTCAAGTACAGGTAGCATGCCACCTCCAAGGACATAGCTTGGGAGGCTAGAGGCAGACAGACTTTTGTCGTTTTTTTATCTTTTGGATGTATTACATGTAAATTCAAGCCAAGGGCTTAATGTGTATTTGAGATAGTACTCTTTTTTTTAACCAAGTGTTAACTTGGAAAGCTGTAAGCCTGTAGGGCATTTGCTTTTGTTGTTAACATGTAATACTTTTTGTAATAAAACTCTGAGAAATGAAAGAATGTGGAACTTTTGAATATCAATGCCTGTCGTAATTATTGGGTTTAATGCTATTGTTTTGAGGGGGTTACAGTATGTTTGTAGGTGAATGTCTAATTACACATATTGGCTAAATATTTTATACTCATATCTATATCGAAGTATAATGTCTGACAAGGATACTCTATACATTTAGAAAAGGATAAATTTCACTGACCGCTCCTAAAGTTTACAGAAAATACAAGCATTAATTTTGGTGCATTTAGTAAGACTAAATGTACCGAAATTAATACAAATAGTGCAAAGATATAAAGAGAAATAAGGTAAAATAAACATTTCAATGTAAAAGAGTTGATAATATCATTTTTTCATAAATATGAATAAATTATTGATGAAAAGGGGTTTAAGTGTTATGTAAATTAAAATTTTTAGGGATCCCAATGTAATTATGCCAAACTTGTGGAGTTCACTGTATTTTTATTTTTATTTTCCAAATCTTGGGGGAGGTTAGTGAAATTTACCCTTAGGAAAGTATGTAACATAAAGATAATGAGATCCATATTAATAAATACATATGAAATCCATCGTCTTTGAGTTTAGAAGTAATAAATCAAAAATTGAGTAAGAAATAATACTCAACTAAATTATGGCATTTCACAAAACCATGGAAAATGGGATAACATCACCAAAAAGAGATTAAAACAATTTCGCAATAACAGTAAGTATCTACCCTCAAGTTTCATTGACAGAAATTTTTTTTCTCTTTGCTACCAAAAAGCATCCAAAGCATGACAACAAACTCAACTTGACCAAAAAATAACAATAAGTCAAGGAACATAAACATTAAACATAGAACTTGACAAAAAAATACATTGACGAAACATGATTTTTTAGAAGTGAGACCGTCAACTAATTTTGTAGAAATGATGTGCATTCATGTGTTTCTAGGTCCGGTTCTGTGTTTGGTTTACATATTCCTAAACTTACTGAAAAACTATTAACAAAAGTATATAAAATGAGGAAGGGCACGAGAACAACTACTCTTGGGGAACTAAGCTAATCTCACCTTTATTGAGCGAGTCATAGAATCCTGTGGTTCTTTTCTTCATGTCTCACTGTTTCTTCTTCTGCACGCTGACAACAGACAGACCGATTATAATCCCCAAACAAATCTCCTTAATCACCCCTGGACCTTTCAAGGTGACCTGATGACCAGCCATTTTCACTCTAGTTGTAAAGAAGAAATCTCTTCAGTTTAGAGAAGGATCATGAAGGGCATATCATAAGTTAATTGTTAATTAACGTAACATGATAGTTGGTTCAATTTTCTCCCAAAAAAAAGAAGAAGATATAAGATCAACCAATTATCGGCCACCAAAGTATGACAACCTAGTACACGAAACTTTTTTCTAAAGCGAGTTTTAAGGAAGGCAAGATGTATGCAATCTTAGTCTCAATTTTCAAGACGTTGGCCACCAAATTATGGGATTGAATTTCTTTAAAAAAATCTTCAATCTTATTAGTGACATGAATGCTCTGGGTGTTTTCCCTCGCTCAACTATTCTTTATTTCTTTTTTTATTTTTATTTATTATTAGTTTTTTTCTGGTGCCCACAACTTTAGGCAAGGAATTTAACGCCCCATAGATCTTTTAACCTCTTTCAAACTTTATCTATTGATTAAACTCAATTTTCTTAATTTAACCATTATAATTGCAACTTGTTCTAGCACTGTTAGCATGTATGAGGCCAAAGAGAAACACATCGGTGTACAAGCTTAATCAAAATATAATAAAAAATACAAAAGTCCCCATTAGATCGAACCATCCACTCCGTGCTTTAGGCCCTCATATGTTGCTTCTTAATTCATTTTAATACATGATATTCCTACCCTCATCATCTCATGAAAAATTTAACACTAATTGGTTAAACTTTTTTAGTAATGCTTGGTGGCCCAATCTTTCATGGTCCGAATGGCTTGAATGTCTTAAAACGACACAAATTCGGACCACCAAGCATTTTTCAAACTTTTTACATGTGCTTCCTAGTTTTATGAAGCACAAAAGTCCCCATTAGACCACAACACCCACTCAATGCTTTAGGCCCTCATATGTTGCTTCTTAATTCATTTTAATACATGATACTCCTACCCTCATCATCTCATGAAAAATTTAACACCAATTGGCTAAACTTTTTACGTGTGCTTCCTATTTTTTATGAATGCTAGAAAATAATAAACTAGGCTTTTCCTTTTTGGATTTTTAATTTTTGCAACGTGAAACTAAAGAAAACGATGATGGAATTGGTGTTCATGGAAATTTCTTAAGAGAAGTGTCCTGTAAGCAATCATGACTTGAAAAAATAGGAGCTTCACAACATACTATTGCATATCATAAAGTTAGACAAACCAAATTACAATGAACAAAGCCATGCCTTAGGAATTTACATAATATAAAGGGGAGATGAATGAAGCAATTATACAATACCTAATTGATTAGATGATCATCTTTTTCATTACTTATGGTGAATGTCATTGTAAGTTCGGCGTGAAGCCTCATATAGCATAACCCCCAAGTGTTAATACAAGTATAAGAGTGATGTAATGTTATATTAGCAAGGTGCCATGCATGATGTGCGTGAAGTTTATTTATTTTTCTTTCTATCCAATCAAGTTTCGCACTTCTCACTTTGCATTTGCAACAAAATAGAATGTTGAATTTAAAATTTAAAATAGTTACAAGCTAAAAACCTATTATATCGCTTGTAGAACGTAGAGATATTTATGAAAAAAAAATGGTGTTTTAGGAAAACTAAATATTGACATGGTTTAAAAAACAAGTAAGGGTGTTCTCTCTTTGGAATTTTATAGATATGGATTATAGATAGGTATATGGTGTCCAGGTTTAGGCTAATTTATTACTACTTTTCCTGAAAGACATTTTGAGTTGAGAATCTCTAATAAAATTGCAAATAGGGGCCTTCAAAGTTTCTAAAAGCATCATAATAGTTCTATTTTCCTTCTTTTTGTCAACAAAACTAGAGAACGAAGACAAACAAAAATACACACATACACACACACACACATATATATATATATATATATATATGACATCTGGCCCAAACAAACTTAATTACAAAGCATATAACTTAATTAAATGTTTCTTCAAGTAGATCCACTTAGCTGAACAAAAAGGACATGAATATAGGTTTGATATAGCTCAAGAGAACAATCAAACGAGAGAGATTGATATGAATAAAGCGAACAAGTCAAACCAATTCGAACCTAATTTCACTCCCAGACATCTATTTGATACTATTAGCACAACACAGCATAAACAGAGAGCAGGTTTTATATTTCACAACATAATGTCACAGATTCATGGATCTGAAACAGAAATTAATGGAAAGCAAATGACACAATTCATAAGTACAGAACCGCACTACAGAGCTTGAAGCTAGGGATAGAATCATAGAAAAGCAAAATGAATGCCAAAGTTCTACATTTCAGTTTAAAGTTCGTAATCCATCCGGGTTTCCCACATTCGCTTCAGTTTTCTCACCATCTTGATTGAAAGTGGACAATACATTCTGTACAAGTTCATTACTGTTACTAAATAATTTAGAATTAGAATACCCCAGTCATGTCCCAAATTCTTGCTTAATCTAGCTTAAATTTGGGATTTCTATGTAAAAATCAACACAAACCCTATACCAAGTGTAGGAAATCAACACAACATTAACTCAAATTCAACACAAAATTAAACAACAAAAAAATCATATAAAACCCTAGGGCAAGTGTGAGAAATGGGGAAATAGAGGAAAAGAGAGAGAGAGAGAGAGATGCACAGAGAGGGAAAGAGAGCTCCATCGACAGATAGAGATAGAGACTAAGAGCGACAAAGAGGGAGAGAGACCGAGAGCGATAGAGCGAGAGAAACATACCTGTGATTAAGTGGCGTTGATGCTTTATAGGTGGCTGTGGCGATGTGCGACGGTCTCTCTCGCCGGTGGACAATGACGGTGGTGAGCGGGGTGAGGCTTGGTAGTGTCGAAAGAGAGCGAAATATTTTTGAGACATTGTATATCGTGTGTGTGTATGTATGTGTGTGTGTGTGTGAGTGAAAGACATATCGGGCGCCAAATTATATTGGTTTCCCTCTAAAAAAAATTTCAACTTTTAGCAACTATTTCACATTTTAGTCACCGAATAGTACTGAATGACGACAACCTGTTTTGCAGCCAAAAGATTACGTATTAGCGATTAATATATTGGTAGCCAAAAGTATCTTTTTGCTACTAATTTTATTTTTCATCAGCAAAAAGTAAATATACACCGACTAAATTGTTTAGTCACCAAAAAGTGTAAACAATGTCCATTATATTTGGCGACTAAACTATGTTTTTGTCAGCAAATTAGCTTGTTCTGCGACTAAACTTAGAATTAGTAGCGTAAAATATTAACTTTTGGCGACTAATTGTTTTTTAGTCACCTATAAATATATGTTTCACAACTAAAATTTTTTTTAGTCGCCAGAAAACAATGTATGTCGACCAAATTAAAATGGTAGCCAAAATTTGAACCTTTGGCGACTAAAAAAAAATTTAGTCGCCAAAAGAACTATTTTTGGGTACTAAAATTGTTTTGGTCGCCCATTTTGGTTGCCAAATGTGTAAATTCTTGTAGTGCAAGCTTGTACAGGTCAATATGCGCATTTGGGTCAATACCAACATGGGTCCGGAATAATTGAGCAAATTCAAATAACCAATCATCCATCTTCACTTCTTTGCACTCAGGATCTTCTGAAGCTCTAGTTTTTTTCCTTTGGATTTGGAGCTTCCTTTTCTGGATTATCAATCTCAACATCCACAATTTCAACATCAGACTCACCCAGAGAAGATTGTGAGCCAATCTCATCTCTTTTGAACCCCTCACTCTTAAGAGGTCTGTCATTCTCCTCTTCCAATATATGCGTTCTTGCTCAAAACTCACCTTAACAATATGCAACCACAACATTCCAATTGAGTCAATCTTGTTTGTTTCAGGGTCGTTTGGAATGAGGCTATCAACACATGACTCTGCCAATCTGAGTTCACTGGAACACATTATAGTCACCCAATCACCATCATTATCCTTATATTTAATTTAATAAAAAACTGACTTTGAAGATGGAAAGCGTTTTCACAATCTCCCTCAACACTTTAAAATTGTAAGTCACAGGCATTTGAGCAAGCCTTATGTCATGATCATAAATAAGCTTCAATGGCCTAATTGCAGTCTCTGAAGTCTAACCACTAGTAAGCAATGATACCGACAAAGATGTATGCTCTTTTTGGTTATCCTTAATGGCATTCAATTTGATAGAACCATTTGAGGCTTCAAAACAATCTTTTGCAATTGGGTTTTGATTTCAGGACCATTTTTAGTAGGTGGAACTAATTGGGGCTTATTCGGCTTATTGTTAGGCAATACAACTGTAGAGGGTCAGAAGTTAAGGTCAAAATTAGGTATGGACCTAAGTGTGGAGGTCGCCCATGTTAGGCGACCAATAATGATTAAAGGAGCATGGGCCAAAGCCCAAGGGAAGTGGGTCCGCAGTGGGCCGGAGCAGGTCGAACCCGCCAAGAGTCCGAATAAACTCTATGAAGAAAAATGTCTAAGTCAAGTTACGGAAGCAACACTTGCAACGGCCAAGTTGCTGAGACACTTTGTCTTAGCGTCGCCATTCCTAGTATTGTCAGCGCCGCCAATTGAAATTGCTAAAGGAAAGAGAAAACTGGAGTAACTAAGTTGCAAAGGCAACACTTCCAGTGGTCGAGTTATTAAGGTACTTTGTTGGCGCCACCATTTGAACTTGCCATAGGAAACAACTGCCGTCGTAACTAACTTGCGGAGGGAAGACTCCACCAAGGTGATAGCAGCCTTTGAGACAAACTTCCCCTCCACAAATAGAGGCTAATGCTTAGGGCTAATAGCAAGCCTCAAGGCATTACTAGCCTAGGGTTAATAGAAGGCCCCTAAAGTCATCATTAACTCGGTGCTGATAGCAAGCCCCGAAGCTCACTAACTTGGCGCTGATAGTAGGCTCCAAAGCTTACTGGTTGGACCTAATGGCAAGCCCAGAAATACCAATATACCGCAGTAACCCCGCGAAAATTGGAACAGGGCAACCCGAGAGTAAGGGACTCCTTTCCATTTAATTAGGTCATGGACCTGCCTTGGTTGCATAGGAAGGACCAATGAAGCCCCCTTAGGCTTGGTACTAAGGCATAACATGGCTAATAGCAGGTTTGGCTGTGGCCTTCGCCGTAGGAAGTTGGGGAGTTTGTGGTTAGGTGGCTAAGAGTGGAGGCTTCGCTAAGGTAAACACAAAACATGGCTGATAACAGGCTATGAAGTGCTGAGAATGCATGTCTTGGCTAAACTGAACTGAGAAGGCAAGTGCAATGACAAACCTTACCGCCACAAGTGCACTTGCTGAGGTTCAAGCTGAGAAGGCAAGTTCCAGCGGCGTCGTAAGTGCGCTTGCTGAGGCATCTGTGCCAAACAGATAGTACATACAGAGGGACACGTGGCATCTTCAACCTGGTTATCCAAGGCAAAATATTCCATGTGATTCTTAGGGACACATGTCTTCACTTTATTTGGCCACTTGGTATCCTATTAGTGCCAAGGCAAAGACTATAAATAGGACCGAAGAGGTTAATCGTTGGTCTTTTGCTTCTGACATTTTTGGGTTGAAAAAGTTATAGTCAATGAAAAAGTACGAGAGAGAGAGAGAGAGAGAGAGAGAGAGAGAGAGAGCTTTTGCTTCCGATATTTTTGGGTTAAAAAAGTTATAAACAGTGAAAAAGTACGAAAGAGAGAGTGAGATTAATTCGGTGGTTTGGTTTGGTTTGGTTTTGTTGGGATAGGGAAGAGTGAGAAGAGATCTGGATAGGGGTGTGGTGTGGGTGTGAGAGTTGGGTGTCTTGGGCTTTCGTTGTCGTCGTCATCGAATCGAGTACGCTTTTGATCCGTTTAACCAGTTGGGTGCGCCAAGTCAGCAGAGGGAAAAATTAATTCTCAACCAATAGTTCTACGTGGCCATGAGATCTTCCCTTTCACTTTCTTTTTTTTTTCCTCTTTTTGATTCTCCACTACCTCCACCTCCTCCACCAAAGTGGACGACTCTTCTTTTCTGACTCAACATTTTTATTTTTATTTTTTTAATTAGCTCCTTAATTTTACCTCTAAAAAAAAATAAATTTTAAATTTTAAATCAGTTGCGTTAGAGATCCTAAATAATTGATCAAATTTTCTATTAAATTTCTTACATTGGTGTGATACCTACACATATATGAATTTGTGTGAATCCCACAGCCATAAAAAAAAAGATTTAGTAAAAATTTTGATAAATTATTTAAGATTCTTATAATTTTTCTTTTTAATAATATATATTATATAATAATTAATGTTTCACCTACCTACCATAAGATTTCATTTTAATTTTCAAACTTCATTAATGCAAGTCAAGTTAGTGAATATAAAAATTTATAATTTTTTTTTACTTGTATTATTTTTCTCTTTTTCAACCACGATGCTATATATCACAAAAGAAATTTAAAAAAAAATAAAAGTACCAAATTTAATTTTTGGATAAATTACACTTACATCCCCTGAGGTTTGGGTTTAATACATATCACTTCCTAATGTTTGGAAAATTACACTAACCCCCCTGTCATTGTAATTATTTAGAAGGAATCAAAACATTGAACTCATGCACTCTTTCTTTGTAACGCCCTCAAAATAATAACATTAAACCCATCAAATAAGACATTCATTGACATAAGAAATAACCACATTCTTCTATTCATGAGAGTTTGATTACATAAGTATTACATGTTAACAACAAAAGCAAAATGCCCTACGGACTTACAGCTTTCCAAGTTAACACTTGGTTACAACAAAAAGAGTACTAACTCATACACATTAAGCCCTTGGCTTGAGTTTACATGTAATACATCAAAAGTAATACGACAAAAGTATGTCCGCCTCTAGCCTTCCAAGCTATGTCCTTGGAGGTGGCATGCTTCCTGCACCTGAAAATGATATTCCCATATAGGGTGAGCCACAGCCCAGTAGAAATACACTAAACCAACCATGAACAATGACTAAAAAATTAGCAATTTATAGATGGCCAACACTGATACATTCACATAAATCACAAATTTATGTCGTACGACTTATGAGTCCAAATTACTTCTCATTTTCCCTTTTTCAACAGATAAGCATGTTAGCTCTATCATTATTTCAACAGATATGTATAAAACACTATCCCACATTCACAGATAAGCATATAAGCTATATCCACATTCTCAACAGATATGTATAACGACACTATCTCACATTCACAGATAAGCATATAAGTTGTATCCACACTTCACAAAGATAAGCATATGAGCTCTATCTTCACTTCTCTAGACAAGCATATGAGCTGTATCTACGGAGTTCATCCCCTATCTTCTCCCAACACTATCCGGTTTAGAGGTACATCCCCCATCTTCCCCTAAACCGCAGAGTACATCCCCCATCTCCTCCTCTACACATAACGTATACAAACACAATGGTTCTATATACAATCACTCAATACATACAGTTAATGTATTCTAATAACCGTCAATTTTCATGACACATTCCATTGATTAGTTTCCGTTTGCCTAATCATCATGCATTGTCCACAACAATATAACCCCTCTGCCTCCTGCCATCTCTTTATAAGCGTCATAAGCTTCAACACCTACCTCCCACAACATTTTCAAATCATCAATTAGTGGTGCCAAGTAAACATCAATGTCATTACCAGGTTGTTGTGGACCTGATATTAACAATGATAACATCATAAATTTCCTCTTCATACATAACCACGGTGAAAGATTGTAGGTAATCATTATAACTGGCCAATAACTATACCTACTGCTAAGGGAACTGTGTGGATTTATTCCATCTGCAAAAATAGCTAATCGAAGGTTTCTTGGCTCTG